ATAAAGCTTTCTTAGCTATTCCAGAAGTCACTTTCTAATGTGTCCTGTCTTCAACTGAACTCCCTTCAATCCAAAGGATGGGGACTTTTATTTCTTCTTTTTCCCCCTGAAATAGGGTTTCTCTGTAGCTTTGAAGCTTGTCCTGGAACTATCTCTGTAGACCAGGTTGGTCTTGAACTCACAGAGATCCGCCTGCCTCTGCTTCCCAAGCGCTGGGATTAAAGGCATGTATCACCACTGCCTGGAGAGACTTTTCATTTCAAACTCTGAACAAGTTTAATAGTGGTATTTTTCTTAAGGTGAAACTCACAGCTACACATGATGATGCAAACCTATAATTCCAGTTGAGATTATAAATCTATAATCTCAACAAAAACCTCCACCTAATACGAACATCTAAAAACCAAACTAAACGCAACAACAACAAAAGCCCCAATAGGGTTTAAATACAGAGTGTATGGTATTATATACTCAACTTTCAGAATTAGAATATGAATTGATAGAGTTTGGGGTCTGTTTTAGGAAACAGTGGTAAATTAAGATTTCTTTTTGTAAATATTTATTTATTTATTATGTATACAGTATTCTGTCTGCGTGTATGCCCACATGCCAGAAGAGGGCACCAGACCTCATTACAGATGGTTGTGAGCCACCATGTGGTTGCTGGGAATTAAACTCGGGACCTTTGGAAGAGCATGCAATGCTCTTAACCGCTGAGCCATCTCGCCAGCCCTCCTCTTCCTCCTCCTCCTCCTCCTCCTCCTCCTCCTCCTCCTCCTCCTTTTTAAATACAAAAATGCTTCTTTGTCGAATTTCCTAAAATAATCATACTCTATCCATATTTCATGTTGGAGTCTGTTCAGGCATATTTTCTACACTTCAGGTCAGATATGAAGCATGAGCACTATGCAGCCACCATACACAGCTGTTTACCTTCGAAGGCGCCATTAAACTGGCCACATAAGTGAAGTTTGCTGTCTAAAGTTTTTGGTTTTTCGAGACAGGGTTTCTCTGTAGCTTTGGAGCCTATCCTGGAACTAGCTCTTGTAGACCAGGCTGGCCTTGAACTCACAGAGATCCGCCTGCCTCTGCCCCCCGAGTGCTGGGACTAAAGGTGTGTGCCACCACTGCCCGGCCTCACTAAAGTTTTTTCATAATTATGGGTCTATATGATTTTAGATTCTACTTTCATTTATTTCACTTAAATTTTTTTTTTTTGAGGCAGGTCTTATGTATATCAGGTTGGCCTTAAAACTCTCTATGTAGCTGGGGATTACCTTGAACTTCTGATCCCTTTTGCTTCCACCTCCCAATTGCAGGGGTCACAAGAGTGCACCAACATGTCCATTTATTTTTTGTTGTTTGTTCTGTTTTGATCACTATGTCAGACTGGCTTTCCTGTAACTCAGTGCATAGACCAGGCTGACTTCAAACTCAGCCTTCAAACTATGCCTCACCTCCTAATGATTGGGATCAATGATGGTACTATCATGCCTGTTCTTTATGTAGTTCTGGGGACAGAACCCTTAGGGCATTATACACGCTAGTCAAAACACACTACTAATCACAAGTCCCTGTTATCGGTTTTTTTCTTTTAGATAAAAATTTGCACATGACTTGACTTTGTTAACGACCATTGTATTCTGTTGGTAGATTAATGTCCTTCATAAACCACCATATGAGCATCCAAAAGACTTGAAGCTCAGTGATGGCCGGTTGCGTGTAGGGTATGTGAGTTCTGACTTTGGGAATCACCCTACTTCTCACCTTATGCAGTCTATTCCAGGCATGCACAATCCTGATAAATTTGAGGTAAGAGTAGGTTCTGGTGACTTTCTTCTGTCATCTTTGATGTTAAGCCCAGTGTTTTGAGAGGCTTGGAGCCAAGGTTATTAAGTATGCCCTCCTCTGTCTTTTAGGTGTTCTGTTATGCCCTGAGCCCAGATGACGGTACAAACTTCCGAGTGAAGGTCATGGCAGAAGCCAATCATTTCATTGATCTTTCTCAGGTAGGCAAAACACAGATCCTTTTCTTCAGATTTTAAGATTTCATAATTAAGTATATGTGTTTGGTATGGTATGTGGGGATGTGCCTGTATGAAGACAGGTGCCCAAGGAGGCCAGAAGAGAGGGTGTCAGATCGCCCAGACATGGAGTTACAGGGTGTCACATGGGTGCTGGAGCAAATGCAGGTCCTCTGCAAGCACAGCAAGTGCCTTTATGTTTTAAATTTTGAGTAAATTTGAAAAAGAAAAACCCTTTTGGTACAAAGTGGGTTTTTTTTGTATTAGGAGTTGAATGGAGGGTCTCATGTTTGTAGTTTTTGATGATGGGTATTAAAAGGAGTAACTACTGTATTTGGGCAATTTGCCCTTGTTTCCTTGGTCATTTACATTTTTATTTGGCATGACTTTTAAGTTGTACATAAAATAGAAATGTGATATAACTCTGTTTGATATATAACTTTTCTAGATACTTTTAATACATACTGAACAAAATCAAGAAGGGTAAATGGCTAAATAGCTAGTTTAAGGACAGACTAGGCTATGTGAGACCGCCCCCATCTCATTTTTTTAAAGGAGGGGGCTGCAGCAAAAAGCCCATCTATTTTTGAGTTTTTGCATTTGTGTGTGTGTATGGTCTTTTTGTTTTATTCTTTTGTAATTCACAAAGTGGGCCTTGAACTTTTGTTAATCCTCCTGCTTCAGCCACCATACCCTACTGGTTGTTTGTCTTTGTTTCTATTTTTTTTCCTCTGTAAATTTTATGATGAGTCAAAGTTGAAACCTATGGGAGAATTAAATTTGCTATGGGTTCTGTTAGTCACATATTTAGACATGAATATGAATAAGTGTGTTTGCATGTAGACACACATCTAAATGTAAATAATGGGATTGGGGACATAGCTCAGTTGGTACAGGGCTTGTCTATTATACACAAAACTCTGGGTTTGATTCTTAGTACTGTATAAACTGGGTGTTGTGACTCATACCTATAATCTCACCATTTTGGAGGTGGAGACAGAGACAGAAGGATCAGGGTTAAAGGTCATCCTTGGCTACGTAGAGTTCAAGGTCTGCCTGGGCTAGAGACCCTGTTTCAAAAACAAGGCTAGGGATGGTGTAGCTCCTAGCAGGTAGATCTGAGTTTGAGGCCAGCCTGATATACTTAGCAGTTCCGGGCCAGGCAGAGCTACATAGGGAGACCCCTGTTTCAAATAACCAATAAATAACTAACTGAATGAGTAAATAATAGACATTTTCTTAGATGGGTTGGGAGAGTTATCTCATTTAATAAAGTTTGCATACCAGTATCTTTTGTAGCATGGTTACTACTTCAAAAATATGTCTGGTCTGCTTTTGATTTTTGAGACAGAGTCTCACGGTACCCCAGGCTGGCCTTCTTACTGTGAGCAGTCTCATACACTTCTGGTACATACTAACTAGGGCAGTATTCTACCCAGTGAGCTGCATTTCCAGCTTTGATTTTTATTTTTCTGAGGCAAAACTTTAACTATGTGATCAGAACTGCCTGTAAACTCCCAGTGTAGCCTAGGCTAGCCTTGAACTCAGCCTTCTTAGTGCTAGAATTGCAAATGAGAGATATCTTGAACGACTCTTCCCTCATCTATCTGCCTGCCTATCTATCTATCTATCTATCTATCTATCTATCTATCTAGCCATCTATTGATTGATTTGGCAGGCTCACTATGTGTTCCTGGTTCGTTTGGGACTATCTGTGTAGACCTCTGAAACTGTCCTGGAATTTACAGAGATCCTTGGGATTAAAGGAGTGAGCCACCACGACCTGGCTTTGAATGTTTTTGATAGATTTATCTTTATGTGTGTTATGTTTGTTTATATGTGCACCATATATGTACATTATGTTTGTGCCTGGTGCTTTTGGAGGTCAAAAGGAGTTGGATGCCCTGGAGTTACAAATGGTTGTTAACCATGTAGGTGCTGAGTTCTACATGTAGTCAGTCCTTCAGTGCTCTTGAGCACTAAGCCATCTCTCTAGCCCTGTACCCCTTTTTTGCTATAGGGTCTCACTAGGTAGTCAATCTAGTCTTCAGATGCTAGGATTATAGGCACCTGTCGCTGTATTTTTTTCCATTTTTGGCATGTGTGTATGTGTATTGTGATTAGTGTACATGTAGGTGTACTTGCAGGTTCATATGTTGCTCAGAGTAGGATGTTGGATATCTTTGGCTTCTTTTCTCTTTCTTTCTTTCTTTCTTTCTTTCTTTCTTTCTTTCTTTCTTTCCTCCTCCTCCTCCTCCTCCTCCTCCTCCTCCTCCTCCTCCTCCTCGTCTTCTTCTTCTTCTTTTTTTCTGAGACAGGGTATCTTCATAGCCCTGGCTGGCTGTTCTGAAGGTCAGCTAAACTCACTGTGTAGATTGGCCTCCAAGTAAGCTCTCTCTGCCTCCCAGATTGTGGGATTAAAGGTGTGTGCCTTCCTACCCAGCCAACTGTGGAGATCTTGCTCCTCCACTCTTGGCCTTATTTTCTCAAGACTGAAACTGACTCATCTTCCTGTCTCCAACCCCCACAGACCTGAGCTGAGGTTCCAGGTGCACATGTGTGGTCATATGTGGCTTTTTATGTGGGTGCTGGAATCCAGACTTAGGTCCTCTTACTCACTGAGTCATCTCTCATCTTATTTATACTGTTTCTCATTGAGATTATAGAGTATCAAACATCTAGTAATTGTTGTGATTGATTTGAGACAGAATCTGTTTAGCTCTGGCTAGTGGAAACTCATGATTTTGTCTCAGGTTTCCTGAATCCTTGCCTTCAAGTCTTGTAACAAATATGCTTAGCCTCTTGTTCATCTTTGAAGGCCCATTTAAAATACTCGCTCCCTTCTGTAACCCTGTTACTAATCCATCCAATTTAGAAGGAAAGTCTGCTTCCTTTATTGTTGAGACAGGGTCTCATGTAGCTGATGTTGTTGTTTAACTGATCTTTCTACTTCTACCTCCCAAGTGCTGGGATTATGAGAGTGAGCCACTATACCCAGTTTATTCACCTCTTTTGCATCTAGGTCTGAATTCTGTTTAATCCTATTAAAACCAATCGAATTAATCTTGAGATTCTACATAGTTCTTACTGTTTATCCTGTAGATTCCATGCAATGGAAAAGCAGCTGACCGCATTCACCAAGATGGAATTCACATCCTTGTAAATATGAATGGGTATACCAAGGGGGCTCGAAATGAGCTCTTTGCTCTCAGGCCAGCTCCTATTCAGGTAAGAGAATAATCATTCACAATGTTTATTGTACTAAAAAGACAGTGGTTTTTGGTTTTCTTCCATCTGGCTAACTACCCTTGAAAACAACAGGATAGACATTCTTGAGTGTTCTTGTATGTACTAGGATAGTTTTTTGGGTGTAGACCCAGTGCCCACAGGTAAAATGTCAATGGAGACTAGCATTTCATGGTTTTATAATAAATAGCTCCTTTGTCTAATATATTTGAAGAACACCTTACCACTTACAGGGTTAGTCTGAAAAGCTGCTGGATTGCTCTTGGCCAAAGAAGTCAGCCTCCTTTATATATGTACATAAGTGATTTGGGAGCCTTTAGATGAAGATCCTCTTTTGAAAAACTGGAATAATTTGGTAGGTTTACAGATGGATAAAAGTTCTTAGTTTTCGGTCTGATTGTTTTTTAGGCAATGTGGCTGGGATACCCTGGGACTAGTGGTGCACTGTTTATGGATTATATCATCACTGATCAGGAAACTTCCCCAGCTGAAGTTGCAGAACAGTATTCTGAGAAACTGGCTTACATGCCTCATACTTTTTTTATTGGTGATCATGCTAATATGTTCCCTCACCTGAAGGTAGGCAGAAAATAATGCTATGGGGTTAATTCATTTTTCCCCTTGGATTGTCCATATGCACCCTGACAGGCATGTCAACTTTTCTTCCATTAGAAAAAAGTAGTCATCGATTTTAAATCCAATGGGCACATTTACGACAATCGGATAGTTCTGAATGGCATCGATCTCAAAGCATTTCTTGATAGTCTACCAGATGTGAAGATTGTCAAGGTCAGAACCCAGTCGGCATTTGTTACTGAAATGAACTAAATTTGTTAATTTTTTCTTATAATGCATTTCTGTTTGGATTTTGTTTTCAGATGAAATGTCCTGATGGAGGTGACAATGTAGACAGCAGTAACACAGCTCTTAATATGCCTGTCATTCCCATGAATACAATTGCAGAAGCAGTTATTGAAATGATTAACAGAGGACAGATTCAGATAACAATTAATGGATTCAGTATTAGCAATGGACTGGCAACTACACAGGTGGGAAAGACCTTAACTATGTGCCACCATCCATACATCATTTCCTTGAAGCCTTATAACCACTCTATTCTACAGAGGAGGAAATAAGCTTCTTGGAAACTTGCTCTTGTAGCTGTGTCTGGTCTTGAAAGTCATTCGGCTTCAACCATCAGGCTCCTTAGTGAGTGCCTACTGTGCTAATGCTTGTTTTTGCCTGTCTGTGCCTTTATTCTCTTACCTCTAGGCACCATATGGTTGCTTGCTTCTGTAAACTCACCCTTTTCCTGGCCAAATCCTGCCTCGCCTTTCAGTTCAGATAGTTCTTATGGGAACCAGTTACTGAACTGATCTTTTGCCTCTCTTTCCATACTCATTGGTACTTGTCTCCTGTGCTTCTGTTGTTTTGGGGTATATTGTTACATTCAGCATAGTGCAGTGTAATGTTTGTATTTGTATCCTTCAGCAAATGGAATTACTTTAGAACTCATGTCTTAGCCCCAATAATATAGTATGCATTCAGAGAGAGAGAGAGAGAGAGAGAGAGAGAGAGAGAGAGAGAGAGAGAGAGAGATGCATACTGGAAGAGGCAAATACATAGGGCAGGAATCTTAGACTTCTTAGGTGCTGACAACATTATTGAGATGTCCATACTCATGTAACAGCATAAGGCAGTCTTCGACAAGTATGGGATTTGCAAATAAAACTGTAGTTGAAGGACTTGACCATCAGTGTAAGGGGGAGTCTTGAGTCTTGGGGAGAAGAGACCCTTTGGGGAGGAGTAATTGAAATTTGCCTTGGAGAGAGGATATGATTTGGAGAAGAGCATTTATTTCATCCATGAAGAACAGAGTAAAAAAAAGCAGAAGCTTTACTGTTGGTTATGGGGTTTTTAGTACTTGTTGTTGTTGTTGTTGTTGTTTTATGAGACAAGAGTTTTTCTTTGGAGCCCTGGCTGTCCTGGAACTCTATAGAATAAACTGACCCTGGGCTGAGAAATTTACCTGCCTCTGCCTTCTAAGTGCTGGCATTAAAGGCTACCACCACTAGCCATGAAACAGGATCTGGCTATGTAACCCAGGCTGTTCTCAAACTTGGCAGCGCCCCCCCCCCCTTTTTTTTGGTTTTTCAAGACAGGGTTTCTGCATAGTTTTTGGAGCCTGTCCTAGAACTAGCTTGTGTAGACCAGGCTGGCCTCGAACTCACAGAGATCTGCCTGCTCTGCTTCCTGAGTGCTGGGATTAAAGGTGTGCTCCACCACTGCCCGGCCTGGCCTCTTTTCATAGGGCAGTTACTCTTAAGTCAAAGTAATGGTGTAACTTTTTATGTCTTAAAAGTAAACTATAGGGCTGGAGAGATGGCTCAGTGGTTAAGAGCACCGCCTACTTGTCTAAAGGTCCTAAGTTCAATTCCCAGCAACAACATAATGGCTTACAATCATCTGTAATGAAATCTGGTGCCCCCTTCTGGTCTGCAGGCATACATGTAGGCAGAATACTGTATACACAATAAGTAAGTAAATAAATAAATAAATAAATCTTTTTTTAAAAAAGTAAACTATATAAAAATATTTTCTCATTACAGTTCAGGGACAGAAGTTAAAATCTTTATACCATTTTATATATTTTGAATTGATTCTTTTTCTAAAAAAATATTTTATGTGTATCGATATTGCCTGAACATATGTCTGTACTATGTGCGTGCCTTGTGCCTAGGGAGGCCAGAAGACAGCATCAGGTCTTCTGGAACTAGAATTATAGATGCTTGCGAGCTGCCCACCATATGGGTGCTGAAGCTCTAACCTAGGTCTTCTGGAAGAACAGCTAGTGTTCTTACAGAACTGAGCCATCTCTAGCTAGCTCACTGACTCATGGCACTCTTTTTATTCTCTCTCTCTGCATCTGTCTCTTACTATGTTGCCCTGGCTAGCCATGAATTATGTTAAACCAGGCTGTCCTCAGAGTCATAAGAAATCTGTCTGCCTACAAATTTGATGCCAGCCTGGTCTACATAGCAAGTTCCAGGTTAGCCAAAGCTACATAGTGAGACCCTGTCTTAAACAAACAAGCAAACAAAAACAAAAAAACAGGCCAGGCATAGGGACACACACAACACTCTAATCTTAGCATTTGGGAAGTCTTACTGTTGACTGAAGCCTGTACATAGTGTGAGGCCTTCCTGGACGTGTGTGTGTGTTGGATGAAACCCCAGGACCTTGTGCATTCCAGATAAACACTCTGCCATGTAGATATACTCCCATTTCTTGGCTTGTTGGGGTAGGGCTTTCATATAGCCCAGGCTAGCCTCAAATCTTGATCTCTGAGCCTTCTTCCCCCATCTCCTGAGTACTAGAATTATAATTGGGTACTGCTGTGCCTTGGTTTATGCAACACTTGAATCAAAACCAGGGCTTCTTACATCTTGACCAGCTGAACCACATCTGCAATTCCCTTTGGCCAGTGCTAACTCTAAATTTAATCATGTTCTTTTTGTTATTCTAGATCAATAATAAAGCTGCAACTGGAGAGGAGGTTCCCCGTACCATTATTGTAACCACCCGTTCCCAGTACGGGCTACCAGAAGATGCCATTGTGTACTGTAACTTTAATCAGTTATATAAAATTGACCCTTCTACCCTGCAGATGTGGGCAAATGTGAGTATGTGTAGATTTGTTATTAATTAATGCGTATTGATGAGTAAAGATTATGTATTTGGGCTACCTTGCTGAAGCTTCTTTCATTTATGGACTATTATGCTCATTTCTTAGCTCCAAAAGTTGTGACATTTTCAGCTGTTTTAAATCATTTTTATTTTTTGAGATTATAATATAACCAATATAATTTCCCCCCCCCTTTCTTCTCTCCCATGTTCCCCAGGTCCAGTCCCTTTTCTCTTTTTCAAATTCACAGCTTTCTTTTCCTTAGTTGTTGTTTGCTTGCTTGTTTGTTTCTCTTTCTTTCTTTCTTTCTTTCGAGAGGTTTCTCTGTAGCAGCCCTAACTGTCCTGGAACTAGTTCTTTTTTTTTATTTATTGTTTTTTTTTAAATTTATTTATTTATTAAAGATTTCTGCCTCCTCCCCGCCACCGCCTCCCATTTCCCTCCCCCTCCCCCAATCAAGTCCCCCTCCCTTGTCAGCCCAAAGAGCAATCAGGGTTCCCTGACCTGTGGGAAGTCCAAGGACCACCCACCTCCATCCAGGTCTAGTAAGGTGAGCATCCCAACTTCCTAGACTCCCACAAAGCCAGTACGTGCAGTAGGATCAAAAACCTATTGCCATTGTTCTTGAGTTCTCAGTAGTCCTCATTGCTGAAACTAGTTCTTGTAGACCAGACTGGCCTCGAACTCAAGAGATCCACCTGCCTCTGCCTTCTGAGTGCTGGGATTAAAGGCGTGCACCACCACCGCCCAGTGCTTCTTTTTTAGTAGTAGTAATTGTTAATGGTGTGTGTATTCATGTGTATTCCTAAATATATAAATGAAATCCACTCATTCTGTATAATGCTACTTGTATTGTTTTTGAGATGAGGTCTCAATGTATCCCAGGCTGGCCTTGTTACATAGCAGAGAATAATACTGAACTTCTGTTCATTCTTGTACTTCCCAAGTACGGGGATAACACAGGTTTGCCACCACATCTGGTTATGTGGTGCTAGAAAGTAATCCAGGGCTGCCTTCATGCTAGACAAATAACTCTACCAGCTGAGCTATGTCCACAGTCATCTTCAGTTTTGATTTTACCTACTGTTGTTGTATTTTCCTCCAGTGTGTGGGGATCAAGGTCAGGGTGTGATACACAGTAGGCAAGCTCTGTACCAGTGAGCTGTATCCCCAGTCTTTTGGTGTATTTATTTTCATTTTTGAAGACAGTGTCTCTATATAGCCCTGAATGTTCTAGAACTCACTATGTAGTCCAGGCTGGCTTCAAACTTAGATCACCTGCTCTGCCTCTTGAGTTCTAGGTTTAAAGTTGTGTACCACCAAGCCTGGTTTCAGTCTTGTGTTTTTTTTTAAAATTTCATGCAATAAACATTTATTTGTTTATTCAAAGTGTTTTGTCCAAACCTGATGTCATCGAACTTTTTCTTCTTAAAGAGTTAGTAAATGAAATTTTCAGTTTTTTAATAAGTAATCTAGTCATCTCTCCTTTTTATTTATAGTATATATATATAATGAAAACACTTAGATATTATATAAATTAACCCATGGCTTAGCATATCAAATTTTATTTCTAAACACTGGCTGTATGCCATACTTGGTTTTCAGGCCATAGTTTCCTAACCCCTGGCCTGAACTGATAGCAAAACTTGCTGTGTGGACATCCATATTTAACATCCTTGCAATTCTATGACATTAACCAGGAAAGAATTGGTCAATAGCCCTATTTTGCAATCAGCTCATGAGCCTGGTTTGTAGAAGTGCAATACTGAGTGTATGCGGCCAGCTGGCCCTGAGTTTGTATAACTGAAATGCTATATTTTACCTTAATGTTGTTAGAAAGAAATCATTCCTTGCTTGATCCCCCCCTCCCCATATCTGTTCTATTTGTTTGAAAGGGAAGGGTAATGTAGAAAGAGAGGAAGTGGATGAGTAAGCCTCTATTTTCCCTGAATCCTCGCTTTAGCCAAAACTTACCTAACAGTAGGCTAGTTTTACTTTTTAAAAAATTCTGCTTATGAATATTCCTGCATCTCAATATAGAGATACTAAAGTGTTTAAAAAAAACAAGGAGTTGCTTCCAAGAGTGTTAGATAAATGTATGTACATTGTATGTTTAAAAATGTGAAATAGTCTGAATTTGGAAATTTGTCTATTCTCAAATTTTTCAGAGAAGGAAGTGTGAAGTTCTGTGATATGTTGAATAAATGCACTTCTGAATCAGGAGTAGGTAAACTGGTCTGGAGGCCAAATCCACTGCTTGGCTCGTTGCTTGGTACTTTTTGATGCTGGGGTGGAACCCAGGTCCTTGCACATGCTAGGCAAGTACTCTACCGTTGAGGTACATTCCCAGCCTCTCATTGCTTATTTTTTTTTTTTTTGATTTTTCGAGACAGGGTTTCTCCGTAGCTTTTGGTTCCTGTCCTGGAACTAGCTCTTGTAGACCAGGCTGGCCTCGAACTCACAGAGATCCGCCTGCCTCTGCCTCCCGAGTGCTGGGATTAAAGGCGTGCGCCACCACCGCCCGGCTCATTGCTTATTTTTATAAATAAAACTTTGACACATGGCCACATACATGTGTTTATACACTTACTATCTATGGCTGCTTTCAAGCTACAAAACAGGCAGTGACTAAAAAGCCAGTACTATTTTCTCCCTGGTCATTTATAGAAGTTTATGCTGCCTTCTGGTTGACATTAGGCAATTTGGGCAAATTTTCAAGTTACTCTTGTAATGTGGTGAGGTGGGGGATTTAAAATTTGAAGTACTGTGTATGGTAAAATGTGCCGGTACTTCAAGCTACTCTGGAGGCTGAGATATGAGAGTTGCTAGAGTCTATGAGTTTGTGGCCAGCCTGGAAAACTTAATGAGACCCTGTTCCTTAAAAACAAAAATAGGAGTAGAGGCTTACAGAGCCTCAGCGCTCCCTGGTGGCTACTTGCAGAGGGAGAGTTCTTTTCTGTGGTGGGCATTTGCCCATCCTCCAGTAACTCACCTCACCCATTTTCATGCAAGCAATCCCAACTAATTTCAGTGGATCATAAACACAAAATAACAACGGTAAAGGTGAAGGTAAGAGGGGTTCAGTAAAAATGGAAGGGGTGAATAGTGGAGGGTGGAAATGACTCTTTCCAAAAATATATAATGGAATTGTCAAAAGATTTTTTTTAAGAAATGTAAGTTAAAAAAGCAAACATAAAGACACCCACATTCCCATCTTTAACAAAGACCACTTCCTATATTAGTTCCTGCCTCAGATTGTACCCGTTAGTAACTTGACTTTTGTCTTCTAATTCTTTTCTCTGTCCTCAAACTCTCTGGGGACAGCTAAGAGAAAAGAAGTAACTCAGATGATTTAATTCATCTTTTTAAAGAAAAGACCTAGGTCCCAAACAGGCTTCTTCACTTGTTTATGGCAGAGTCTTCTTGAATTTAGAAACCTTAGAAACCTCCTGCTTCAGTTCTGCCAGGATCATAGGTATGTGCCACAATGCCCAGATTAGGTGGTGTTGGGGGTCAGTCACACTTTCTGAGTGGTTTTGGGAAAGGGCAGATGTGCTATTAATCTTTTCTTTTTCCTTTTCTTTTTTTTTTTTAGATTCTGAAACGTGTACCTAATAGCGTGCTTTGGCTGTTGCGTTTTCCAGCAGTAGGAGAACCCAATATTCAACAATATGCACAAAATATGGGTCTTCCCCAGAATCGTATCATTTTTTCACCTGTGGCTCCGAAAGAGGAGCATGTCAGAAGAGGTCAGCTGGCTGATGTCTGTCTGGACACTCCCTTATGTAATGGACACACCACAGGAATGGATGTTCTCTGGGCAGGAACACCCATGGTGACTATGCCAGGTAAGTGGCTGACAAATCACTGAATCCTTCTTTATTCGTTAACATTTTTCTTTTGGGTCGAGGGGTACTTGAAGGTGAAATTTTTTTTTGAAGGTGAAATTATATGTATTAGAAGTAATTAAGGCAGAATAATAGAAAATGGGACTTACTCAAGCCTGAATACTTGACACCATCCTCCTCGTCTTGTACTGTGTAGATACTTAAATGCAATTACCAATGATGACTATGTGACCTATAGTTCTAAGATGAGCAATTAGTATTTTTACCTTCTAGGAGAGACTCTCGCCTCTCGAGTTGCGGCTTCTCAGCTCACTTGCCTAGGATGTCTTGAGCTCATTGCTAAAAGCAGACAAGAATATGAAGACATAGCTGTGAAACTAGGAACTGATCTAGAATAGTAAGTAAACTGCCAGGAACAAACTATATGTGAAAATGTGACAAAATAAAGTCATAAATTAAGGATGATATAAAATAGATGAATTAAGTTGTATGCTCTATGGATAGAAGGGGACATAATCTAAACTCTCAAGTAATCACTAGACTTTAATAAAGAACTTTCAAAGCATCAGATGTTTTAGCCTAGTATCCATTTCTTCATAGTATTTTAAAAAACCACCACCAACAACAAAAATCACAAAAAAAGCTTAGTTGACTGAAAATGAGTGGAAATTAGAGGGATCATGCTAAGGTAAATGGAGCTTCGCCCATTCAATGAAATAGTGTTTCTAATTTGTCCCTTTGTTTTATGGTGTTTGTTTAAAGCATTAATTTTTTTTTCTGTGTGGTATAGGTGCATGCCTTTAGTCCTAACACTTGGGAGGAAGAGACAGGCGATCTGAGTTCAAGGCCAGCTGTTGTCCTCTGGGCTTTACATGCACACACAAACACAAGCATATATACCCAAATACACATAGTCCATAGGGTCTTTTTGTTTTGTTTTTTTGAAAGGAAGCATTGATAGTACTATGAATACATTTGAGTAGAGCCTAATCAATGGACAGCCAACTTTCACTTTCAATATATTTCCTTTTTTTGTTTGTTTATTTGCTTTTTGTTTTTTGTGACAGCTCTAGCTGTCCTGGAACTAGCTCTTGTAGAGCAGACTGGCCTCAAACTCACAGAAATCCACCTGCCTCTGCCTCCCAAGTTCGGGGATTAAAGGCGTGTGCCACCACCCAGCTCAGTATATTTCTGATGATATGTTAAAATCCATGACAGAAATCAACTTGGAGAGGAAAGGGTTTATTTGCCTTACATATCCATATCACAGTTCATCATGAATGGATGCCATGACAAGAACCTGGAAGCAAGAATTGAAGTGCAGAAATGGAGGAACACTGCTAGTTGGCTTGATCCCCCTAGTTTGCTAGAGGTGGTACTGGCCATATTGGCCTGGGTCATTAATCAAGAATCAAGAAAATGACCTACAGACATGCCCATAGACCATTCTTATGAATACTTGAGGTTCCCTCTTCCCAGATATGTGTGTCAAGTTGCTAGGCCAAGCAGAAAAAAAATTTTTTATATTATTATGCCACAAAAATGACTATAGAATCTAGTTCTGAGTTTTTGTTCTGATTTGTAAAATAGGTTCTCTTTGTTTTTATTACCTAGCCTGAAGAAAATTCGTGGCAAAGTCTGGAAACAGAGAATATCTAGTCCTCTGTTCAACACCAAACAGTACACAATGGAATTAGAGCGGCTCTATCTGCAGATGTGGGAGCATTATGCAGCCGGCAACAAACCTGACCACATGATTAAGCCTGTTGAAGTCACTGAGTCAGCCTGAATAAAAGACTGCGCACGGGAGAATTACCCCTATACCTGAGCCTCAACCTTCTGGGGGAAAGGGAACTAGATAACATGCTTTGTACTTATCTGTACAGTACCTTGTTGCAGATGGATGATATATAACGATAATAGAATAGCACAGCCAGACTTGCTTCCTGCATGATAGGGAGATACAAGAGATAAGAAACTGCTACTCCACAAGGAATCTCTGTAGAGTTTTGCAGTAAGCAGGTGGTGCAGAGGTCTGGAAGGTCTGGTCTCCCTTGGTCTTCCATGGGATGCTTAATGTGGAGGGAGATAGAGATTGACCAGCCATTTCGTGATTCCATGGATAGATTGAGTCTTCTGATCCTTTTTTCCTTTATATTTTGGGTATTGGAGCTTTTAAAAATGTTTGCTTTCAGGTATTTTTACTTACGTGAAGTGATCTTGATTCTTCTGAGATAAGGTTTTAAACTAAAATGTTGCTTCCTGTTTTAGTGTCTGAACTCTGACAGGGTGACAGGGACCGTGCTGGTGTAGTCTTTTTATAGGTTTTATAAACCATTTGAGCCTATATCAGTCGTTTTAGTTAGTGTCTGACCTAATGCTTGATACTGTCAGTGCTTTGTTGATTTAGACAGTGACTTAGGATTTTTTCAGCCTCTTTCCCATTTCTTTTCCCCCACTTCCTTTAAATTCTCCTGTGAGTGCTAACAAAACTAAGTCTTGTTTCAAACATCCCAGAGTGTTTCTCTTAAGCACGCCATCTGGTGCCAAATGAAAATTCTTAAGGAGTGAATATTAATCATGAAGGGCACAGTTGTGGTACTGTTATTGATAATAATGTAGATTTTTTTTTGCCTGATTTTTAGCTATTTCACCAGTGTTTAAGCCCTTGACTGCCCCTCCTATGCTGCTTCCAAAAGTGTTAGTGTGTGATGAGATTTTTACTTTCCTTTCTAAAGTTTGTTTGTTTTTTAAAGTGAGTCCTGTTCTTCCTATTTCTTTCAGCAGAAATGAAATTCCAGGTAAGTATAAGTATTCAAATATTTGATTAGTAAGTTGCAGTTATTTCTGTATATTAAATACTGTTCACTGACAGATTTTGACGTAAAAGCTCTGAAAGGACCATCTCTATACAAGCAGTTATTTTTCAGACTGTGTTAGTGTGTATCTTCTTGACTTAGTCTCTAAGTTTGTGGATTCAGCCTTGATAGTAGTGAATTTGTGTCACTACTTGGTTTAGAGGACAAGTTAGACATTCATTTGCCCTCCTGGAGCTCGAGTTCTTGGTGATGAAGGACAGTTGCATTTCAATAAAAGGGTAGAGGGCTTGAGGCTTAAACAGGCGGCCATAGGACATAGCACTCAGACTCCAGCCACTGACCAGTTTTGTCTGTTAGCGCTCTAGATTACGTCTTTCCAAAGCACCTAGGCAGTGCATCTATTCTGTAGTTGCAGCTGTTGCCTGAATGTACCTTAGCTGACAAGTTGTTGATAATAAAGAACTTGAATTTGTGATTTTTTTTTACTGCTAGTTAAAACCTAAGCAAGGAGTCTCGCGTGTAATTCTGAAGCAGAATTACATTGTAATGAACTGTGTACCTTTAGTAATGTAAATCAAGGAAAACAGTTAAGGGATTTCTTAATTTATTTTTTAACTGAATAAATCTCAGTTAAAGGTTGCCAGCATGGTTACAGGTAAACTGACTTTGAAAAACCACTGAACTGCTAAATGTGGGATTGGATGATAGATGTCCAGGGCCGCTGAAGTTGTGATCTGTGGCCATTTTACATAGCACATCATTCCTCCTATAGGGATGAACTTTTTCCTGGCACAAAAAGTAGCCGCTCTGGTTGAAGCTTTGCATATTGTAACAGGCTTTTCTTTCCAGGTAACATGTCTGTGGAAGACTTAATTCTGATAGAGTTATAGATATTACTGGAAACTAATTTGTTTTTTTCTATTATACTCTGCTTTATTGAAAAAGTAAAGCACTTAAATTGTGCTCCAGAAATTCAGATGTTGTCTTGCAATCTTTAAACAATAAATGGATGATTTCCCCTTAATGTGGCTTGATGTATTTTGTCTCATTATGTTAAGTATTACTGGCGAAACCTATGCTTGAATAGCTCAAAACAGCATGACCAGGAAGTGTTTCCTTACTTTAGGTGTGATGTTAAGAATTAACTTTGTGGGCTGGAGAGATAGCTCAGTGGTTAAGAGCACTGGCAGCTCTTCCAAAGGTCCTGAGTTCAATTCCCAGCAACCACATGGTGGCTCACAACCATCTGTAATGAGATCTGGTGCCCTCTTCTGGCATGCGGGCATATATGGAGGTAGAATGTTGTATACATAATAAATAAATAAATAAATAAATCTTTTTTTTTTTTTAAAAAAATAACTTTGTTTTCTTTGCCAAGTCTGATGGGAGGATTGGAGATACTAAATAATACTTTAAGGGATCAGCAGAGCCCCAAATACCTGTATACACTTTTGTGTGTGGGTCATTCTTTGTTTACATTCCATTCTGGGGACTAAGCAGAGTGCCCTATGCATGTCAAGTACATAAATACTGAGCTACAGGTACAGCCCATATAATCTCATTTTTTAATATGGTACTTACAGTTTTTTTTCCCCTTCTCTCTGGACAATGGTTGAACTCAGTCACAAGTTTGGCTTCCAGTTTTTTCAGAGATAAAAGGGAAATGTTTGGGGTTGGAGATGTCTCAGTAGTTGAGAATTTTGGGTGCACTTTCCAGAGGCTTCAGGTTCGATTCCCAACACCTACTTGGTAATCTGTAACTCTCTGTTCCAGGGGATCCGATATCCTCTTTTGGCCTTCTTGGGTACCAGGTATGCATGTGGTGCACAGATGGATATACATACAGGCAAAACACTTAAAAATTAAATATATATATATATATATATATATATATATATATATACATGGTGCATAGACATACATGCAGGCAAAACCCGTACACATAAGATACTTTAACTGTTCAAATAATATTAAGTAAATTTTCATATAATTAACAATCTTATTGTACCTCCAAAGCCCTAATGAGACTTATGTTTGTTGGAATCTGGATACTTTGGGTCATAATGATTAATAGTATTAGAGTGTGTGTTCTGACTCAGAGCTGTAAATCCTAGCACTGGTAGGCTGAGACAGAATTGGTAGGCACTAGAGATTCAAGGGCATCCCAGGCTATCTAGTGAAGCCCTGTCTCAAACAAAAAAGATGGTATGGGAAAAAGGTTGGCCTCACCACTCTGTAGTGTGGGATGAAGTCAACTAGTCGTAAGTCTGTCTTTCACCCTTATTGTTAAGATTGTTTCATTTATCTCCTTCGGTGGCTCCTGCATTCAGTCTAAATTCCTTGAACAGACTAAATAAATTTGTGTAATTGCTGAACAGCCTGAATTTTAACTTCTTTTGCAGTTTTAGAGAGGATTTTCTGTAGCCAAGGCTAGCCTTGAACTTCAGGTTTTACTGCTTTTGCTTCCCGGGTGCTGATGTTAAAGAGATTATAAGCATGTGCCTTCTTATCCTACTGGTATTTTGTATTTGACAAGATATCACTAAGTACTGACTGGCTTCAAATTTGTCTTCACATTTATCCTTTTGCCTCAGCTTCCTGATCTGGAATTACAGGTATGTGTCTTTGTCTTTGGCTGAACTGTTTGAAGGTTTAATTTGAATTCTAACTTTTATTTGAAGCTTTTTGTTGTTGAGGTAATTTCACAACATTTCTCAGGCTGGCCTTGAACCTCTCCTCCCCTTCTCAAGTGCTGGGAGTATAGCGTATATAGACACTCTTGGCTTATGTTTCTTATACCTACCATTTAGATTCTTGACCTATACTTCTAATCCACATCGTTAAGCAATCTTCATTTTTGTGGAGGAGAGTTACTATTATTCTTACTGTTTTTCCGTTCAAGGAGCCTGCTTGTTTGTATTCATTTACTCATCTACCTAGTATCTATCTATCTATCTATCTATCTATCTATCTATCTATCGTGCACTTTGGAACTAACTAGAGCTATTACAATTGCGTTCTAGCTATGCCACTTTCTAGTTGTTTAGCCTCTTAAAATGAGAGTGTTAACATTGCATTTTAATATTTCTTTTTAGGTCTTGTATGGGTACTTTGCTTGTATGTTCGTGAGGTGACAGAGCCCAGAAGAGGGTGTTGAATCTCCTGGAATTGGAGTTACAGATGATTGCATGCCGCCATGCCAGTGCTGGGAATTGAACCTGGGTCCTCTGGAAGAGCAGCCAGTGCTCTTAACAGTTAAGCCACCTCTCCAGCCCCATATTTTTATTTTTAAAAATTTGGGTGTGTAATATATGTTTGTTTCTGTATGGATGTCAGTTGTTTCTCTCTCTGGGATGCTCCATCTTATTTCTAGTTCACTATTTCCATCTTCCATCCCTTACTTACCTGGCCCTATCTCCAGCCCTGAGATTAAAGAGACACCTGTACTCTATGTTCATGCTGATCCAGCATGCATTTTGCTTACTGGACCATCTTCCTGGACCCTAACGTTGAATTTTTAATTATTTAGAGACAATAGTTTCCTTTTGTTGTTTAGGTACGCTCATGGGTTCCCCAAAGTGTTCTTCGGTCTCACTTCCTGAGTAGCTGCGACGAGGGTGTGGCATGCCAGTGTCTAGGAGGCTTATGTACACATTTTTTTTAGATTTTAATTTTTTATATTTATAATTTCTTTTACATGTATGAGGTTTTGCTTGCCTGTATGTCAGTGCACTATGTGTGCACTGGTGCCTGAGGAGGTCAGAAGAGAGCCTTAAATTCTCTGGAATTGGAGTTAATGGGTGGTTGTGAGCCGCTGTACTGGTGCTAGGAATTAAACCCAGATCCTCTGCAAGAATAGTGCTCTTAACCACCGAAGCAACCATCTCTCCAGCCCTTTTCAGGACATGGTATCACTATATGGCTGTTCTGGATCTCACTCTGTAGACCAGGCTGTCTTTGAACTCAACAGAGATCTGACTGCCTCTGCTTCCCTTGGGCTGGGATTAAAGGTGTGCACCACTGTACCTGGCCCCTTCGTGTTTGATTTTTTTTGTTTGATTTTTTTTTGTTTGTTGTTTGCTTTATTTATTTTATTTTCAAGATAGGATTTCTCTGTGTAGCTTTGGAGCACTTGTTTTTCTTGTTGCGTTTTGAATGGGTACTGAAAAGCTTAAAGTAACCGTACTCCATTTTTTTTTCTCCAGGGTCTGACAATTCTGGATGCCAGCACCACAGATCTCTGTTGCTAGATGTTTTTGTTTTGCGTTGCTCCCTCTTACTTTTATTGAGGGGACTAGATGGTCCTTTCTGCCAGCCAGCGCTCAGAGTAGTTGGAAGACCAACCAGGTAGATAAACGTTTAAAAGATTTGGGCAACCCGGTAGTGGTGGCGCATTTAATCCCAGCATTCGGGAGGCGGAGGCAATGAGTTAGAG